TCTCCTCAAGTCTCATATCTTCTTTCTTTGGTGTAGTTCTTGGAGGTTGGACAATAGGCACAATCAATCTTGTAGTAGGCATTGGGGTCTTTGGTACTTGTACCACTCTTTGAGTACTAAACCTATCCATTCTCCTTTCTTTTTTTGTAAATAATCCACTAGCATCTTCAACAGCTCTCCACTTTGTTGTTAATCCTTCTTTTTCTTTCTTATCTTCAAGAAGAACCTCAAATTCTCTTGTAATTCTTTATTAATAACTTGATGAAACAATTCAATCTTGTTTGGTTCCAATGTTAACTTTTCTATTTTTAGAAATCAAAAAAATTGCCTTTCAAATTTACTTAATAATTCTATAGCTTGTAAATTTTTATTAGGTCGCTCAATCCATTCCAAGAATGATTTCTTGATAAGTCCATCAATATCTTCCAAAAAAATACTCATCCTTCACTGCGTGTAAAAATACCTCCTATGAACTTCCAAATTACCCCATAATAGACCTTATATGCTCTCTTATCTCTAGTACAATAGCAAGCTCAAATAATTGAATCATCTCCTTCTTAGAAACATTATTCAGTTCTATTTTCTACACATAACATCTTAAATATTTGAAAATATCCCTCCCATCAAATTGGTCAACCTTGTTAACTACTGCATGTAATGCTTTGGTTGCCAAATCCTCTTTGCAATCATTGCCTTGTTGCTGTTGCATAAATAATGTAAATGCTTGAAACATTTTTGTAGTATTTGGGTCAAAGTACGTACCTTGTTCACTAATAGAAATTCCACTTGAAGTTGCGCTTGAAGATCCACTTGAAGCTCCATCCAAAGCTCCATCAAAAAGTCCAAATTCAATCTTCTTGCCTTCTTGCACCATCAATTCCAAATAACCACAAATATAATCGAATACCTTCCACCCCAAACTTTCACGTCGGGTTCACCACTTATGTCGTATTATGTATTGTCTTGCTCAGGAATGCACCGGGCACTTAGTTGTGGAAGGTGAGATTATGTTTCACAAGTAGCCAAGAAACCATTATAGGTTTTATCCATGTGAGAAGAATATAATCTGAATTTTAATTCAAAAGTGCTTATAACACTCTTCTTAGTAGTCTTAACTATACATAAATCCCAATTATCTTGTTACTTTCATATTTAAGCAATTTAGATTTTTCTTGTAAACTCCAATCCTAATCAGTGAGCTTTAATAAGCTATAACATCCAATCCGATTGTCCACTTGATGTAGAATTTTGCATGTGATTGTCAATGCAAGTCTTTTATATGCTTAAGAATTTTTAATCTAATCCAATTTACAAATTGTGAAAAAACCTCCAAAATTTGCACCAATGTCACTCGGCCGCCAACTTGAAAAGTGAAGTAGAAATTCCAGCAATGATTTCTCCTTCTCCAATTGTTAACTTTGTCTCAAAACTAGTGTGTAGCTTGATATTCAAGTCTTCCAATACCATGTCTATTTTCACCTTAATTTGACTAATAAATCTTGAAATATCATAGAAATCCTATCCAACCTCAAACTGCCACCTTCTAAAATCCTCTTGTGCTAAAAACTAGATATCTCTAAACCATGCCGTTAGATTATCACAAAATTATGTATACACTTAGCACATTCAATAATCCAAATAATATGAAGTTTTCAACTATATAAGTCATACCAATTGCACAAACTAGCCAAAATTGCCAGCCCTAATTATATTATATAAAACCCAAATCATTGATACAAACCTTGACTTTGAAAAAAAATTGCTAAGTCCTCCGAAATCCCTTCAAAAAAATTCTTATGTCTTTGAAAAGAACTTCAAGCTAGCTCTTAAATCCTAATCTCTGATCTTCAAATGAAATCCTATTTTTCCCTATGCTGTCATTTTAGTGGCCAAAGGTTTGATTTTGACCCTGTCTCATAAACGGTTGATCCCTAGGTATCAATCTATCCTATTCTAAGGTGTTTTTAGTCCAATCCTACTTTCAACTTAATCTTAGTACCAAGTATACTAATTATTTATCTTATCTAATCTGATTTTATTAATTTATGGTCTTTCTAAGGTAATAGAAGAGTCTCTATAACCTAGAAGGTAAAATTACTAACTAATCTTCAATCTACTTATTATTAAGATAAGAAAATAACCTAAGAGGCTTTTATGAAAGCCATGTTTAGATACCTCAAATTATAATTGAACTAAGATAATTAGATATTAATTAGAAATTTAATTTTAATTATAATTTCATTATATAATTGTATTACATCACGACACCAGCCTCCTACTTCAATTTGAATGTTAAAATTCTAATATCAATATTTCTTTTTTAAAATATTTAATTATTTTTAAATTTTACATATATGTAGCAAATTAAGTCTATTATTTTTATACATAAATTTCACCTCAATTCAATTACTAGATTGCTAAAGAACTTAGAAATGCTAAGTGTCCTTGAAAGTCCAATTTCTAAGATCTCAACCTACTTCAAATTTAATAACCTTTAATTTAATCATTTGATCAAACTCAAACATATAGCATACAATTCAAACAAATATTTACATAAGTCTTCAAAATTTGAGTAATAGATCTACTACCAAACTCACAAAATTCTCCAAAATATAATACCTTTTTTATTTTACAAATTCCAGAATCATCCAAAATAATTGTGACTTTGCAAAGCTCTTACAAAGTCATTACATACTCAAATCACTCAAAATCAATGCTTAAAGAAATCTTATCAATTCTACTCTCAAATTTGATTCTTTAATCTACAAAAGAATCCAAAAATTGCCATAGGTGCCTCATTTTGTCTCTTGGAATCTAATTTAGACCCATGTTGATAACTAATCCTCTTTGAATATCAATTTTTTCCCTTTTGAGTTAATTTTTCCTAAAATCAATTCCTACTTTCTTCTTACATATGTTTGTATTTTTTTATTTTTTTAATCTATCTTATTTTGCCTTATTTATGGCCTTACAAAGTAAATAGAAGTCTACTTTGTAAAAAGATAGCATTTACACCTTTAGTTTTAGTTTCTTTTAGACTATTGTTTAGTTTCTAAGATAATTTGCTATAGTATTTGAAGTAAGATCTTCTATAATATAATCATTTTTTTACTATTTTTATCTATTAATTGTATTACATTATAACAATACTCTAAGGTTTTGAAGATTTATTAACCAAATTTAATTGGTAACTTTTTTATAACTTAAGCATTGTTCAATATATAAGTTGCAAGTTGATTTAGTTAGAATCTTACTTACATGACAAGCCTTATTTAGATTTGTTCTTTTATTTGATAAGAGATCTCTTATCTTGAACAAATTTAAAGTTTTTTTTACAAGTATTTGTATAGACATTTGGAAAATATAACAAGGCCCAATTGATGATAACAAAGATTTTTTCATTATATCAAGGATCATGCTCTATATTATTTTATGCATCTGATTTTAGGCAAATGGCTTATGACATCAATTTGGATGAATAAGCTCTTATAAGCCAATTTTATTGATGATTAAAATTAGAAATCATTAATGTGAAAGATCCATTATTGTCACTATGAAATCATCTAATATTCAATGAAGTTGATAGCTAAGTTGTAAAGTGCAATAATTGATTATTTTAACACTATCAAGATCAATGCTTATGGATTGATAAAAAAATACATTAAAATTTTGTATTGAGTTACTTCAATAAATATATTACTTCTACAATTTAGAGCTAAGAATATACAAATTAATGTAATATGGTTCAAACTTCTTACAACAAAGGAAAAAAAAGCATCAATTTCAACAAGACCTATGCTTATATTGTCGTAAAAAAGGCAAAAAATTTAAAAAATATCTAAAAAAATAACATTCAATTAAAACTAAACATGCAATTGTTTTAAAAAATAAAAGGCCCAATATCAAAGATATAAATTTCAAAAAAATAAATCTTAATTAAACTCTTATATCACTCAAAAGAACTAGAAAATCATTCAAAGATGATGCGATATTAAACAAAAAATTTATTGCCAAAGACAAAAAGACTAAAAAGTCTTATGTCACTTGAAAAGACTAAAAAATCACTCAAAGATGATAATATATTGAATTAGAATAGCTATCTAACTAAGAGCTATGTAACAACGTCCTATAAAACCTCCAACATGCATCCAATTTGCAAGACAAGTTGTCTACATATACACCACATCATTAGCTTATACCACAAGCTACCTACACATGCGATACATGGCTAACTTATAGGCCAAGTTTCTAACTTATTAATCAACTATAAACATGTATAAAGTTAAATACTCGCCTATGAAGCTTCTAAGAAGCTATATTGCAAGATAATATCAAATCTACCTATATTTATTCTTTCAGAGGGAATGCATTTAATAGCAACAAATTCATTAGAATTAGGAAGATTACAATGTCTTTTGTCAGTATCTTTACTAAAATAAAGATATATATATATATATATATATATATATATATATATCATCATCATCACCTCTTTCTCTCATTTTTCTCTTCCTTCAAATAATATATCATGAACTTGTTGACAAAGCAAAATATATATATATATATATATATATATATATATGGGTTTCTTAAAGCTCTCATATTTTTTGGGTTGATAAATTAGTATAACATGCCATCCTTGCTTCATGTGCAATATTGGTATCATAAATGTAAATTTGTGTAATAAATATAAATAATAATAACAATAATAATAGATACAAATATAAATCCATCAGAAGACTTAAGTATAAAACATAAATAAACAAACTCCCTTTTATTCCTTTCATTCTATTCCTTTTACGTGCCCTGAAATACACAAAATGTAAGGAAAAAGTAGTTGCAAGCCAAAGTGTACCATAACATTTGATGTCCAAAAAGTGGCAAGCCTGGACCATATAAAGAGGCGAATGAATTCATCCATCCATCCATGACTTGGTCGTGGATGAACGTCGGAGCTCGTTGGCATGCGGTGTTGAGCTTCCCTCCCCTTCTTCCCGCCCTCGCTCACTCGTGCAAGTGGGCGAGAGAGTGTATGTGTGTGTGAGCCGTACTGTCTTGCGTTGCAATGTACTCGCTGCGATTAGTGTTTCCTGTTGATTGATTCTCTACTTCAGGAGGGAGGTCAGCTTTGTGTCTCTGTGTTGTGGAGGTTGCGCATTTTGGTAGCGTTGAGGCTGCTTTGTGGATTTCCTCGATTCCCTTCGGTGCTTTGGTTTGCCGAGCTCTATTGCTTCCATCTTGGCCTCGATGCGCTCGAACGCTGGTGGGATAGCATTTGCGGAACGATTCGACATTGAATTGAGTTGATGTGTGTGGTGCATTGAAGGCATCGTGTGCTTGCACTGCGTGTGGTCCGCGAGAACAGCATGAAGGTTGCGCGTAAAGGCCCTCCGCACACATTTTTTATTTGGCTATGATTGATGACGTTAAGGAATCGTTTTGAATTAGGTCTCGTGGGACGTGATCTTGCCCTGGATACCAGGTATGGTGTGTGCCGTATTGAGTTTTTCATTAGAAGTTTGAATTTGGGTTCAAGGGTAAAGAACCGGACAAGTGGCCCGCCTCATTGACGCGAAGTTCCGATGAGGTGGGAGAGGGTGTCGTTTACAAACTCGATTCTTGTGTTAATTCCACGTGGACGCGATTGTCAGTTGCAAAGGTTTTGAGAGTTAGGGTTTAGGTTGGGTTGAGAGATTTAACCTGCTTGATGAGTTCTATACTGAACCTGCCCTAGTCGACTTTGGTATTCACTTTTTTTTTTTTTTTTTTTTTTTTTTTTTTTTGCTAATTTGAGATCCCTGTAGGTGTGAAGCATTGGTGTTGTTGAGACGCCGTGGGCGGACTTCAATTTATTGTCGGAAATGTCCCAAGTTGTAAAAATGCGCCCAATTTGAAAGTAGTGATTGGTGAAGGGCAATGGCGGAGTTGCTAGATCTCAACGTGAACGGAAGTGTTACGGTGGGATATTCTGATTCGTTCGCCACGGAAGAGTTCAAGCTGTTGGAAGTGGATGAAAGCGTCTTGAAGGAGCTACTGAATGACGGGTATGAAACTTCTCTCAGTTCATGTAAAGTGATGTTTGGAAATTTGGAACATTTTTGGGCGATTTTACCGTTATGTTTAGACGGTCGCATCTTCCTCTCTAATAAGAGAGACCTCTTCATCATGATTTTTACTTGTCAATAGTCTTCACGAACATGTAGCAGTGCCCCTCATCCTCTAATTTTTAGGAGTATGCTACGTGATGAAACAATACTAATGATGGGTGTGGAATGTGGATTAGCTACATGAGTTTAGAGCACATTTTTGTTCATCTTTTATTCATAGTTTGAGAGGAGAAGGGGTAGGTTGTGGGCAGTTCAAAGATGACCATTTAATCTTTTTGAGCTGGGAAAAAAAAAAAGTGGTTTTCTGACATTCCAGTCAAACTCAGATTGACTATTAAAGGAGACCCAAATGATGAAGCGGTTCTATGTACGTCCTCGACCACTTATGCAATAAAATATGTATCAACTTCAAACACAGTTTTGCTCCTTTCTCCCACACAACATTCCACTCTGCAATCGGACGCCACGGATTGCCCCGAAAATGAAAAAGATTGTACAAGGCCAACAAGTGCTGGTGTAGTAGCAATGGTACCAGGTCTTATTGAATTGGTGGAGACAGCGCCTAGGCTCGATAAGTTGAAGGTTCTTCTGAATCAGCGTCCATACACTGAAGATTTGGACGAGGAGCAGGTGTGTTGTAAGATGCTGTGAATTTAGTTCGCTAAAGCAAGTTCTATTGTTGCTCTATTAAAGAATAGAGTTATTCTTGAGCTTGCAGGACACATGATGTATTTTTATAATGACTGGAAATATTTGTCCATGAGCATTCCAAAGTTATTCATTTAAGGTTTATTAATTCATATCTTTCTTTCACATAGTACTAGCCACAAGAATGAGCTCACAAGCGGTTCTGAACATGAGGACTCGTCGAATCCTGTACGATAGGATAATGACTGGATTAGAGCCTCCCATAGTTGTGTGGAACAATAAAAAAAACAATCAATGTCTTCGGTATCTATTCGATTGCCCGCTGGTTCAGATTTTTAGCGTAATGGAAACTCAATTTTTACAATTTACAAGAACGAAATGCTCATGCTAGGCTATGATCAATTGTTTCAGATGCTGGAGGAAGATGAGCGGGGACGAACGGGGCTTTACACCATGGATGACCTTGCGAATCAAGTGCAGGCCAGCTATAGCCAAATCAAAGCAGCATTAGAGTCAGTGCAAGCAGTGGAAATTGAAGGGTTCTGGAGAATAGTTGATGGAAATTTCATGCAGGGCTTATTAGATGTCATTTTGTTGACTGCTGTTCAACATGACTGGAATATAAAGTTGTTACAAGAATCCGAAGTAGTCCAGGTTGTAAGGAATGATGGCTACACGCCTAAAATCATTGAACATTGTCTTGCCTGTTATGGGAAGGAGGTTGAAACAAATGTACAGGAACCTGACACTAGAAAATGGGAACTTGAGGAAAGTAAAGTCTGCGTACACTATGCAAAACAGCTACTCCGTTCTGTCCCGAAGTGGAGATTAGAAGATTTTTTGAATGCATGGAAGAGAAATATTCCTACAGGACTACAACCTGAGTTGGAAATGTTGAAAGGGGAGGTGTTAATTGAGAGGATTGGAGCTGATTCCTGGCTTCGACTCTTCAGCGTTTCATCTTTGCCCACAAAGCCAGCAGAGCGTTTTTCTGCTCTTTTCAAGGAAAACCCTAAATGGGAATGGGACGATCTAGAGCCCTATTTAAGGTGAGGATGAACTTCGATGCTCTCCATCTTTGTGTTTGAAGTTGATCTTTAGGTTCAGTCTTCGTGAATACTTGTTCATAGCAATGGTTGTACATCTGGCATCTCTTATCACAAATTCTCTGATAGACAAAGTTTTGTTTGTGCTCCTTAGCGTTTTAAAGATGAAGAGGTTTGGCTGCGTAGCTTGTTTCATGTTGTTGTTTTTGATGCTAACAACAAAGTCATGATATAACCATTTTGCCTTGCATCAATGACAGGGGAATGCAAGCTCCAGGCCAATCAGTAGAAGCTATGCTTCTTAGATACACTCGAAAGACGCAAATATCCCCAAATGTACCTGCTATGTACACACCTCGTTGAGTCTGAGATTCCAGTGGAAACCAAGTGAGTCAATTTTATATTCAGGTGTACTAAGTCATGTTCACTTTTACATCACTTGTAGCCTTTCACTGCTGCAGCTGGAGTTTTATCAGACTGGATTCTAGCCGTTATGTTCAAAGTTCTATGTCCACCTAATTGATGCTCCCTACTTGAGAAATAGACTTCTAGAGTGTGCATAAGTGCACTCGAATTATAACTTGTCCGTTCTCACTCATCTTGTTAGCTGTATTTGTGCCTTGCTTTAAGGCAAGGTGATGGGTGACAGCTGAACAGGTGTCGAGTGCAATGCCTTTTACTGAACCTCAAATCTGTGATTGACGCAGATAGGCGCTCTGCCCCTTAATATTGTTTTCGTGTAGATTCCGTCTTAATTTAGGCTTAACATAGTAACCTCGCACTGTACACATATATACTCATACCCCGTCCTCTTCTGGCGCTTGACTTGAGCTCAATCATGACTGCAGGGAAGCAGAGGAGCAAAAGTACCAATTTTAGAGACATAGCGTCGAATGCTAAAATTGTTAAGGCCCCCCGTGTGAAATTGACATTGGAGGTGCGGTTTGCGGACTTTTCAAATCAATCAGTCTTCCATTTTTATTTGATGTCATCTTTTGATTAAAACGATACTGGCGTAGTCATGTTTTGAATGAGCATGCGTTTCGTACAAAGTATAATGCAGTTGAATCACATGGCATTAGGGGACATATCAGGAGACTGAGTGGTTAACGAAGATTAAGCTTAATTCTTCATCTCATTTTATCATGTTGTACAACTTTTAAGTCGGCTAACACGCCAGCGATCTCCTTATCGAACCCCATCGAATCCAAATGCACAGCGGTACCAAGGTAATGTTAACGTCTTTCTAGCGATCCCCCAATTCCGACTGCTTGGGTCTATTTCTTTCAGCGTTTAGTGCGAACAGTAGCTGTTCTCGCAACAACGTGAGATAGTTGGAGCTGATCTCTTACAAATATACTTTCATTCACTGCCAAAGGCAGAGGATACGAGTAGAGAAACTACAAGTAGCTCGTTTCAAATATGTATACTGGATACCAAGCAGAAAACCACATTGACACAAAATTCGAGTCATTGAGTTGGTAAATTTGCAACCTTTCTCTAGTATAAATATTAACATATATTGCCATGAAATGCCACTAACAACTAGGTGGACTTTCAACCAAAATCTGATCCACAATCGTATCACTGCGTAATAGAATCACTGGTTTGGTGCTGTAAGGACATCACTAATCTTGATAGTTGTTAACTGAAACTCCCTTCGCACTTTCTCCTCCAACTCCTTCAGTTCATTTCTGGCAGCATCATCTCCATTATCTACTTCCCAGGCGCCAGCACTATGAGACTCGGGTAACCGATTTATCCCTACTATAGAAATTGACCTTGTTTCACCTCGACTATCCAGAGACCCTGCCGTACGATTACAAGAACCATTGTCAATTCATTCTCCAACGAACAGACTACAAGGAACGTAGGCATTACAAAAGAGGTCGCTATTCCGTAAATTCAATAAAGCAATTGGAAACTATAAACCACAAGAGTGTCAAAAACTTCAACATTCCTTAACATGTATGATCCTACTCGTTGTGGCAATCAGTACAAGACGAGTTAGAAAGTCGCGATATAAATTTGTAACATTTAGACAACTATGTGGGAGCAAACTACCACCAGAGAAAGAGGTCATGCGAATTCCACCTTCTCTTTGCGATTCCAGATCAAGTCTTCCAATCTCCTCAATGTTTTGTGACTCCAACACTGTATCTGAGCTTGATACACTAACCTCACGGATTTTGTTGATATTCCGGTGAAATGTACGCAGCGAATCTGTGGAAGAATATCTGTAAATAGAGGAATCCAGAGCCTCCAAGTGTCCTCTTACGTCACTTTCGCCAACCAGTGTGTCCTTCAATGAATCTGGTAAGGCAGCGAAAGCTCTGTATGCAGTTGAAGAACGGAATACGCGTTACAGAAACCCGCAGCTCTCAAGTTCAAAACCTCACTGGGAGACTTTGCAATCATTAACTTAATTTGGGCGATTATTACTAGATCAAGAGGGAAACATAGTTAGATGATTCTTAACCTAAATCCTTGACATCACAATCAGGCATATGTACTATATCTAATCTATGAAAGAGAAATTCAAGTATTCGTGCTACCTGGTAAGGCCACGAGCAACACCCCAGGTAAAACCCGCAACAGTGGCCTCAGCGTAACCTAAATTGAAACCCTCCTGCACAGATGAATTTTTGCCTGCCTCCACCCCATCCCTGTAACCTAACTTCTAGTCGTCAAGTTTCACAAAGTGCGAGCTATGATACAGTCTTAGTTAGAAAAGACAACAAAGAAGGAAATGTTATGCGAAAGCGACAAAAAAGTTGAAGGACTATCTGCCACCTCATTTGAGCCCCGCTATTTCGCAATGCTATACTTGAGATGGGTTTGAAACAAAATTAGTTCAGTCTGCAGTCACGAAAGCTAACGGATTTGATCTGATTCAATTCCAATTCGTCACTGATGAATAAAAGACTTGCACAGATAATTGTGAAAGGATACAGTATGAAACTGATTATGTCGAGCCTGCCATTCATGATCCAGTTCCGAATGTAAATGAGACCCTTGACGATTGCCCTCTTCTCCTACGATGGTCTCCGACCCCCAGACATCGTCATCAGACATTGTCACACCTCGAGGGCTTCAGAACCTGATAAAAAGAAAAGAAAAAGAAAAAAAAGAAAAAAGAAAAAGAGAAGGATTCAACCAAAATCCCTAGACTTAGAAAAAAACTGTAGCACCTGCCCAGAAAAGGAACTTTGAGAGAAGATCAATCCCAAACAAAGTGGATAGTACGACATCTCGCCAAAAAAATTATAAAACTACTACCTTCGCATAGAACCAATGGTCAATGCTGAACCCGTGTCAACATTTCCTTGCTTTAAATCTGACATGATTTCTCATTCAGAACACCAGGAAATCCAGTGCTACAAACCTACTAACATTTTTAATAAAAAAACAGTAGAATCGTGATAATCAAATTCGAGAAGTACAGGTTCAGCCTCTATCCAGCCCTAAATCCACCCTCTCAACGCACTTTTCGAGCGACGATCATCGCCACATTAAGCCAACGTACGCTTACAAGCGCCCCACCTTCTCTCTCTCTCTCTCTCTCTCTCTCTCTCTCTCTCTCTCTCTCTCTCTCTCTCTCTCTCTCATTCTCCCTCTCTGCACTAAACCTCGCAACAATGAGGTAGATCAAAATTTTCGATTATTTACGTTTCAATTCAAATGAAATACTTTCTAAAAAACTAAAAAGAAAGACGAAAAGAAGAAAAAAAAGAAAAACAAGCTAATGCGGCACATACTAACGTCTGAGGCGAGACTTTTCTCCCCAAAATATGAACACAAAGCACTCCAAAACGCATTCCCACGGGTTAAACTACAACGTCCGAAATTGATTTCGGAATACACGGACACTGCTATCACACTAGCACCAGAGCACAAACGAACTCCAGTCAATATAGCGTCGGATCACTCCCCGAATCCTTATCATCGCGTGCTAAAATTGAGCGAACTGTTCGCCAGAAAAGAAGAATGATAACTTCGGAATACCTCCCGCTACACCATCCCACAAAATTACGAGAAAAAGTCGATTTCACGTCGTGGCCAAGCCCTCATCACCGTATTATTCTTCTAGCCACACAGATGCAGAGCAATACAAACTAAGCATGAAGAAGAAAATATCACGCACCCGGTCTCCTCCTCCTCCTCCGCCTCCGCCTCCGCGCTGCTGTCAAACCACCGCACGAGCTCCTCCAAATGCAAAGCTCTCAAGTCCATATACACACAATCGCACACCCAATGAGCTCTCCCGAGCAACGCACTAATATTCTCGCTGTTTTTCGAGGCCTAAACCCGTGGAGATGAGAACCTATAACCGCGGGAAACTAGGGCACGGTACGTAACTTGGTGATGGGAGCAAGCGTCAAGAAGGCTGTTTATGTTTTGGCGATCCACTTGTTTGTCTTCTCTATTGTGTGTATGAGGATTACATTGAAATCATGTACATATATGAGCAAAAGATATGAGACTTAATGAGGATTTATTCTTATTTTGCAGCATTTTTCATGTGGTGTGGACTTGTAAGAATTTGACCTTGCAAAGGTATCAATATGTAGATGAGTTCAATATCTTTTGCTCTAATCTATTGATATTAAAAAAATAAAAAATTAAATAAAAAATTAAAAAATGTTTGATAAATAACGTTACAATGCTTTCTGACTTTGTTGGAAGGAATAGTATTTTCAAAATAAAAATCAGAGTTGTATGGCTTTTAGAGTGAGCATTAAAAAGTTTTTTTATTTGTTGAGATTGTAGCTTCAATATTTTTATGATGACGTTTAATTTTTTGTTATAAATTATAGATATTTTATTACAAAGAAGTTTTATTTTGTGAAATAACATGATTTTTTAAAATAGATATATATATATATATATATATATATTAATGTTTAATAATGAATAAACTCGTCAAAACCTCAACAATACAAAGAACAAAAATAAGTTTTTGTTTCTTAGCCTTCTCTTGCTTATATCCTATACAATATATTAGGTTTTTTCATTTTTTTTTAATTGTACTTTCATAATTAAAGATGTGTTAAGTTTATAATCTACTAAAATAGACATCCATATCTTTGTTTACACTTGCCTTCTTTTGTGCTCAAATACTAGTTTTTATTGTCCCTTGTCTAACTTTTGTCTCGTGCATGAATAAGACCAACTTGGTTTGCAACAACTTGACTACATTGCAAAAGCAAATCAACTTATTATTTATAAATAAACTTACAACTTACTATTAATATAGTAAAATAATTATATTTATATTAGTATTTAATACATTGTACTTCAATTCTTGATGATAATAATCAAATTTTGGTATTTAGATCTTATTTTAATTTTATAAATGTTTTAATATATATATATATATATATATATATATATATTGCAAGTATTATCTACTTTAAATTTATAAAAATATTATTATAAAATAATAAAAATTCTTTTATTAGTCTTATTTATTTACTATTTTTAATATTTTTGCTTCATGTATTTATTGGAACAAATGTTCTAAACTTAATATCATGTTTGTCACCTTGTGAATTAATAAGATTGTAACAAAAAAAAATTGAGACAAAGTAACTTTGCTAATACAAGTATAATCCTTAAAACATGAGAAGACTAAAAAAATAGTTGTTTTGAAAATTTTGAAAGTAATTATTAAATATGGTGTCTGAGTAGAATGGCTCAAAAACCATTGATATTGACCTAACAATGTAGAAAGTTGATGAACTTCAATTTTTTTCAACCTTCTCTGTCCAAAATGTGTTCACCCTTATGTTTACAGAAACATCTATGAAAACATTAATAAATACATTGATCCCACAGGGTTGAATTTGGCGGTTCAATGAAGCTGCTTCTCTTGTTATTAAATGTGCTGAAATGTATACGTAGAACCTATGAAGAGCTGTCCCATAACGTATTCAAAATTTGCCCAGGCACTGGAAGATTGGTGAAAACTATTATCAGTTGGTGAAGAAACATATTCCTGAACGTGATGAAGCTCGAAAACAATCCTGTTCTTATTAGCCGAGTAACACTGGTCGAAAACGTCGAACAAGTGACCCTGGAATAGCGTCATCCCTTTCGGACGCATTGAACTGTTGCAATCGTTCATTGGCTTAACATTTGCACCGTGATGATCCTGCGATCAGAAAAAGTTAGAAGAGTGTAGACGGCCTGACAAACATGATTGCGAATTTTAACTCCAAAATATATTGACTAATGATAGGTGCAATTGAAAATTTTCTATTTAGTTTTGAAGAATATAAAGTAAAAACTCTAACGAGGACTGATGAATGATGAACGTAGTTGGGGTTGCAGAAGCTGAAGATGTGGGTAATCTAATCACTCTTATATATCTGATGAGCTGTGGGATTCTTCCCGAGGATAGGGAATGTGGAGCAACCATTCAACGAAGGGAGCTACAAATTAACTCGTCCAACTTGAAGGTTAAGAAAGGATGCTGCTAAAGAGCTTTCCCTGCTTCCAACGAATCCAACAGTCCATGATAACAGTTGTCAATGTAGTGGAGAAGCTGGCTGCATGCTAGCATCACGTATTCCAGAAATCCACTGCAATTGTGATAAAAGATGCTTACATACATGAATCGCAGATTGGAGCAGAACAAGAATATTGTACTACTAATCTATTGTAACCACGTAAAATTAGAACCAGTGAATAGCTCAACCAGAAATTTCAAATATACGTAGCAAACGTTTAGTCAACCACGCAATTCACAAAAGTAAAGAACGAGGAATTGATTGTATTGATGATTGGAACATTATGCCCCGGCTCAAATTGAGACTAACCTGATGTGAAGTTTTTCACTTTCCGCCGGAGCTGCTGTATGTCGTGATTTAGAGCCTTTGACAAGATTGATTCCTCTAGAACTGTCCCAGGTTCTTCTTTATCGTCGGCACTACCATTTCTTAAGCCTTCAATATCAAGACGGCGTTTCTTGCTTACTAGTTTCGGTCATCCATCAGTTGCATCGTTGAGTGCGAAACTGTACCGTCCCTATTCATTTCGTTGAACGAAGCACTTGTACAGTGATTCAGGAACTCGGATCAGGCATGTGTTCAACAACTCAAGCATTTTTCAAGGATATTAAAGGAAAATGTAGCAATGGTAATAAAAGATGAGGTAACACGAATTGCAGTTGGCACAAGTTCGTGCACTTTGCACGCAGAACTCAGAAGTAATCTAATTAATGGCAGATTTTTGTTTTGAGTAGATGGCCCGATTCTTGCATTGCAATACAGAGACCTCACAACCTCTAAAGCTGTGCATAACAATGATATTCTTGCACTGGCCGTAAAAATGGTATTCAAAACATGTCCAATATCGTAAACATTAAGTCCTAAGGAAATAAAAGAGGCTTTCCGATAATCTTTCGAGTACAACAGAATTGTGTTTCTTACGCCTACATACAGGTAAACACTTATTGTAGAAGACTGAGTTTAATGTTGTGTTCACGTGTTGTAAGTGACAATCACTTTAAACGTAAGTGAATGTGCCAAAGGATTGCGCACACCTCTTTCAGCTGGCGAAGACCGACCCTCGGTACTCCTTTCGTTCTTTCCGCTTTCTATGTGGTTCGCAGCTCATTCTGAAATGCTCAATTGAATGTGAAGTTGGCAGCAATATCTGATTGGTCTGAAACACAAAGCAATACTCTAATATCGTTTGTGCTGGACGTTATCATAGAAATGTAACAATGAGCAAGTAACGCCACTCATAGATTTCTAAAAGTACTTGCAACGGGAACCTTAAAATTCTGGGTCACTAAATGCAATTCTTCTGCAAGGAGTTTCTAATGGTGGTTCAATATCTCTCGCGTTGATTGTATGGCATAGTCTGGCTTCTGTACGACGTTTGGAGTACACATTCTTAAGCTTCTCCAAAATTTTTACTCGTTAAACTCACCCTACGAGGTCCATCAGTGGTGGCTGAAACCAAAACAGCCACCAATTCAACTTCAGAAGAAAGTCATCCACACTCCTAGCACGAGAAGAAGAGTCACAACGACGATAATCATCATGGACGTACTCTCCTCGTCGTCATCGAAATCTTCATTAATAACACTAGGAACCATTGCAGCACTGTGGAACTACTGCATCACCTTGCCATCCAAGCTTCGATACCTAAGAAAGAAAAACTACAAGGAATGGAGCTATAAAAACATGAGTCTCAGCAACAGTTCTCAAAGCAAGAAGCGTAGAGGACCCATGCGTCTCCGCGGCTTGTAATATCACATTGAGCAGCTTCTCTCTTTGTGCAGGCTTCCATTCCCGCCACACCAACCTCAATCTCCTCCAGACTAGAGCCTCAGCTTATGACTTCGATCCTTGTCACCAAATCGGGGTGGAGGAGCAGTTCCCCAACGCGGAGCTCCTGGGAAGACAAATACTCTACCAATTATGAAATTAAAGGAGTTTTCATTCAAAGATGGACGGATATTGATCATCTAATGGCTATAAATGGATGGATCTAAGTGAACGATGAGTAAAAATGAGTTACAGGCATGGAAGCGTGGAGGCAGCTGGCGTTATGAGTAGGGAAAGCTCCGGTGCGTTGGTGTGAGCTGGGGATATGTGGGTCATTGTCGCTGCCCGCAGCTGCTCCCACTCATCAACAAACTAGCTGCCGGTACCCTCGTCGAAATACTCCCGGGTGTCCTGTCCACCAGCTCACTGATCACACTTCCTCCCAGTAGAGTTTGGTTATTCGGTTCTCGGAAAAGGTTTAGCTTCACACTGGCTACAGTTGCTAATGGGTCCCGGGCGATTCTCATTGCCCTTGCTGCCCGTTATCGACGTGACGAAGTGGGCAGTGTCCTACTCATTGCATGAGATTCTTCTGTGAAGTGTCTCCGTCAGGTACGAAACTAGGCTCAAACTCTGAGCGCAGTGGGTCCCAGACTCGCCTTGTGGATCAGTCTGGAGCTACTTGCTGGAAAAGAGACAAGGAGAAAGATAGAGAGAAGTGAGATGAGAATCATAGCGGTGGTCCCTTCCGAAGCGCGCAGAGATTTAGTCATTCCTGGATTGTTTACGTACACCCGATTCCTCATGTGCTCAAAGACCTTATGCCGGATTAGGATTTTGACAAGGAGGTGCAGGAGATCTGTAATGCATTGCCCCCTCCCCAATCTGTCAGAACCTGCCATTCTCTACAAAGCCCGACCTGCCAGACGTCACACTGAAGTAGATAGGCTATTATGCTGTTTGTTTCGCTGTGTACCGAGAGAATGTTTTACTTTTGTAGTATATTTCTGCTCTGCATCAACAGGTTGATACGGGATCAGAACAGCAATAGCAGACACAGGTTTGCTCATTCATCAGATCAAAGTTTTGATGATAGATTCAAGATGAAAGAGTCCACCAGGAACAGCTTGCTCGAAAGTTCATTACGGATCGTCTTCAGCGACGGTAGCTTCCGTTTCACAACCCTTCCAATGTAAATATAAGTAGGATAAGTCGGTGGTTCTTAGGAAACACCTATGTACCTAGAACTATCTCCGCATTCTCAAGATAGCAAGCTAGCACAGAGGTAGGATGGTAACAAAATTCCTATCCTAAAGTATTGAGTACATGCTCCAGGTTTCAAATGGGAACACAGTGGTCTGAGGATCTCAATCTCCTATGACTAGGAGCAAGAGGTTATCATTTGCTATACTGTTGCAAGTCCCTTTTGATTGCAGAAGAGCCACTTGCGTAGGAAAGTCAGCAATGGTCACACCATGGTCTCACACGAGGGTTTCCCGGATCTGCAAACCCATTTCGCTGCAATAAAAAGACGTGTTAGACCTCTACAAAATTTGAAATGGAAAACCTCAATTTCAAGGTTTGCAAGGCTTGAGAAGCCAGAGACAAACGTCTAGGAGAGACGCAAATGAAGGCATCACTCAGAAACGCATTTCCATTTATCAACACCTAGGTGCTTCAGGGAACACACTTTGGGTTCGATATTTTAAGTGTCAGGTTTCAAAAATTGCAAAATGCTTTAGACAAGTAATTTGTAAATTTAAAATTATTAGAGCGATATCTAAAAGATGAGGAACTTCTCCGTTAGCAATAAGGATGTCCATATGTTTGATATTTTTTGGGATACGGTTAAAAGATCATCAGCTTATACACAAGTGTTCAATCCACAAGCTACATGGGTGTCTAAGTGCACTCTTTTGACTAAAATTCTAGTAGTAATGTAAAATAATACGGTTTGAATATTTGGGGCAGAGCTAGAGGATAGGGAGCAATGAGAACGTTTGAGCGGAGAGAATACCTGATGCAAATATTCATATGTTTGTGTTGCAGCTTACAAAAGGTTGTGGTTCGAGTCGTAGATGGAAGATGAGACACTTTCGTACGGTCTCAATGCGTGAAGCTCATGATATTTTATGTCAGGACTACCTACTGCGCTACCTCCACTACGGCTGTTGTTGTCGTCACCCCTTGGTTCAGAATCTGTTCCAGTGTTATGCTCCCTCATAAATTCTACCGGCGTGTGGGTGCGATGACTTATTTGGTCGCTCCCACCGTTACTAGGAATTCTACCATCCTCACTAGATGAATCAATCAACGGCATAATCTGATGCACGGACTCCAGCTGCCCGTTTCCAGTTATATTGTTCAATGAGGAGGATACAAATGGGTTCGACCCTGCACGTACGGCCTGTCCTGTCATATTGCCGAGCATCCACTCAGGGCTGGCAATATCACGAGGTATCAAATTTTGGCTTGATGAAGGGAAAGCCTGAACATCGGGCTCCTGCAATATCGATTTCAATTAAGTTTCTAAATTATTTTTTTAGAGAAACGTACTCATCAGCGTGAAAACAAAAACATCTCCGTACTTTATGCATTCCTGTTCTAGCTCACCTTCTGGTGATTGTGAAAATTCGAATTGGCATGCGACCCTCACTTTTGTTGGTGCACGACCAAAGTATCACATACCTGAGAGTTTGCAGAAGTTGAAATGATACCAGACTTTGAATCATTGGACATGAGATGCTGAAGATTCATAGTACTTTGTCTTCCTATCACTTGGGTCAAGTCCGATCGTAAATTTGGAGGCCTCAGCCATGGAACTGGAGTCTCAATTTCATTATGCATCTGACCAGAAATCGTCTGCCTCCGTCCTCCAGCTTGATGGCTCAAACCTAATTGACCACCTAGGGATGAGAGCGAAAGTTTAGGTCCACTTGTTTGACCCATGCTGATGGCCTGCAAACATAATCCATTCTAGTGAATCGCTCATAAATGATATTAGTGAGACTAATTTTAAGGAAGTAGTATCAGAGTACTATTGTGGTGTTTACACAGAATCTATATCCAGTACTGCTCTTTTGTATCGATCCGAAAATGTTCAGTCTTTGCAAAAGCACGATGAACTTTAGATTCTAGTCCACATGTACCTGCAAATGCTGTTGGTAAACGGAATGATCCTGATCGTGATTGTCGTTGCCTCCTACCAGTGGCATCTGCTGCTTGGCATTCTGGAGCATGAGGGGTGCTGGTGACAGGGAAGAGAGTAAGGCTTCTGAACGCTTCATATCTTGCGAGCTCATCTGCATTCCAGAATGAGACAAATGCTGATCATCACCAGGTCCCCTTCTAATTCCCTGATTACAAGATAGGAAATGTAAGCTATTTCCAACAGGGCCAGGCTTCTCATCAGAGTCTTCAAGGGACACTGAGCTCGGTGAACTTCGACACTTTAATGGTATGATCATCGATTTCGAATCTGCACTTGTGTACCACTTAGATCACTTCAGCCACATATTTCTTTTAAGGACATGAAGCAATCCTTTCATATTTATTTTGACCAATCCCCACGAATCTATCTCCAGCATGTTGATTGACAAACTAGTAGAGTTAGATAATTGAGAGGTACTTCCCGACATGTGAATAATAAACACGAGTGCTGCAAACACTAATCTAAATGAATCCCACCGCAGCTGTGAATAGGGATGGCCGACGCATATGTACACAGTGACTTCTATCAACTTGATGAAAACAGTGTATAACTGCTCGATGACATCGATCCACTCATCGAGCGTTATCAATAGAATTACTTTGTAAAGATAACCATTTATAAAATGCTGCCTTCAGGCAGAACCCAATGTTGACTTACCGTTGACACGGTTGCTACCTGAGGGATCGTCTTCGTTCTTAATCCCAATAGGTTCAGCCAACTTTCCTGCAGACACAGATGCATAGGGTTGTGGTTTTCTCCGACGCCTGTTGTGATCTGCCAAACGCTTCCTGCAGCTTCTTTTACCATTATCGAATTCCTCTAGAGAGTGAAATCTGGGCATTGAAGAAGTCATCACAAGATCCACATCAGTACTGAAAGACCCAACACTCGATCTCCCTTAATGATCTTCATTTGATGGATCTTGTGATGGGTCATTACAAACACAACTTTGACAACCAAAAAATGGATAATTATAGTAACTCGTCTAGAAACTTTCTTCTCTCCGGTGCTAAAAACAATGACTTCAAACAATGGGACCCTTAAAAGTCTATTCGAGAATTATCCGAAGGCTACCGAAGCACAACTTTTGAATTCAAGAAGAAAGCATACAATCAAATCGTGATCCTGAACATGAACTATGACAAACCTGCTGCATTGTTGACAAAACCTCTGAGTTTGGCCACCAACTTGAACATTGGGGGCTTTTGAGTGGAGCTCACACACTTTGTGTCGACGATGATACTGTTTAGATGTGCTAAGATCGGTTTTGCATCCTTCTGCCTGACATGTAGGGACTTGTGACCCAGGTGACCCTGTGCGATGTCGCTTACCAAGCCCACTGGCAGCGGTTTCCTCGGTGGAGAAGTAGGTTCGAACACCGAGGTTAAGCCCAATCCTTGCATGCCCATCAAAGACCTTTGAATGGTAGACAATAGGTTAGATCTTCGGCATATGAGCTCGGAATAAAAATTTACATCCAGAGTCCTAAAATTTAAAACTCGCTCAGGAATCGAGATGGGGCAACAGCGAAAGAATTTAGAAAATCAATGTGTGAATTGTGAACCTTTCCAGGACTCGGTGTATTTCGTTTTCAATCTGTACAAAGTACTCCTCTTTTCGGCAAATCATGTTACGTGAGTCACTTTCAGATCAGAATATCAATATGGACTAAAAATATTCGCTTTAGTACGTATCCGACAGCGAGCCCTGGACTAGCACGTTGACCACCTCTTAAGACATGGAAGCTTCGATGGTAGCCTAAAAGAACGTTCACACAGGATCATGTTGCACCACATCCATAAGATAAAACCAGTAGTTGCAAAATTTTGAGGTCAGTTACCTCTTCTCTTTTGACATGATCGTGCATTCCAGTTACAAGGAACTCGCGCCGACTGTGATCAAAGCTGCGAATATCATTGTCAAGGCCTGTGCCGCTGGTCGCTGCTAGGCCTGGGATACCAGATGTTCCAAGGACACCATGCAGGTTTGATGAGGTCGAAAGCTGGGCAGATCCATCCAAAGTTCCATAGTTTCGGATCCCTGCAGAGCTGAAAATACCCATTGGGTTTTGTGTAAAGTTGGATGGTAGGCCGGCGGACAGCATATTCATATTGTACGAAGCTCGAAAACTAGACATTGTGCCTGTCAATCATCGAAGATAACATTCAATCATAACCAGCACTTGCTACTGAATGATTTTCAAGCCTGCAATGTTGAGCGTGTCTAAAACGTTTCAGTAACAGTAGATCAAACTCACAATCGCAATCAAGAAAAAAGATTTGAACGCTTACTTCCTCAATGATATTACGTTAATCACTGAAGAGTAATGAAATTGCTCGTGTGAATACACATTCCATTCTCTGGACTATTAACATCATTGAACTCATGCAATTAGTTGTAATGAGTTACATCGACACTCTGCCAGGTTTACCTGCAGTTACGTGGTTCTTCATGCGAGCACCGTCATGACCATCGTCAGCAGTAGACCCTCCACTCCCAGGGTGCTGTGCAAGAATCATTGGATCCCACTCCCACTCAAGGCGGCCAGCACTACTGTACTGGCGTGAGGCCTGGTCAAGAGTGCTGACTGCACTTGGGTTGCCCCAATCCTCCGTAGACCAGCTAAGGTCCCCTTGCTGCTCGTTGTTATGTGCAGAAGGGTTCATCCCATACACCACCACGACACAATGATGAAGTGGCAATTTCTTGGAAATAGGAGACAACTTAATGACAAGAGTAAATGACAGAGGAGAGAGAACACGCCAAGTCCAGACAACCTGTAAATTTATCAAAGTTTATGAGTAAATGATCGTTTATGAACACCATTTTGGCAGTTGAAATTATGATACTTCAATCGAAGAAGTCTTCAATGTACACCTTGCAACCAAGCACCTACTCCAATTGACTTCAGATTGAATGGTTATGTTTACACGTCAAACTAGCGTACTACTACATCTAATTTTGCGTCATTCTCCAAATGAGCTAGTGCTTGAGATTAAATCTGGAGCATACCTTTTGTCGCCTTCAAGGTTTGTGCCGAAGGAAGCCACAGGTTGTCTGATTCTAAGAGACCTTACATACAACCCCGTTATTCCAGTATGAAAGTAAACATGAACTAGGTTAACAGAGCGAAATCCCCGAATATCAAATTCACCTGAAGCCTTCACTAGATTGCTGGCACCGACGTTAATGAAAGAGCTTATCCGGAGGATCAATTGCTTCAATATGTGGCTTTTTAAGGCTTCAGCACTCAGCTATATATAGGCATATTTCGGAAACATATGTAGCGTATGAAAAATAACTATAAGCGAAAGAGTACCAAACCTGTTAACTTGGTCAACCTACTCCTCTAAGAGAGGAACAACTGCTAGTCGTTATTCTACATGACCTGGTTCATGGCTAGTTGTCCCAAACAAAAAATATCATCTTCTTTGTCGGAATTGTTGATGTTGAGCAGTAAGAAACTGCTTCTACTGAAAACGGAGTTATCGTCTGCACCCGATTGGGATGTGCAGGTGGAAAGGAAAGGATGGAAAATAAATAGAATAAAAAATTTATTGCCAGCCACCAGAAAGGGCTGGCATTTTCCAACAAGACAGGAATTATTCCTGCGAGGCACCAGCGAGCACACTTCAGTCATAAGTAGCAACTGAGAACTCAAGCGTGGAATGGTTATGTCTTCAACGCATTGACATAAGATGAGGGAAATCTCTTTTTTCCTCAACACGGCGTCAGCAAATTCTTTGTGGTCTAACCTGTCAACATCAACCGAGGCTGCAACTCATAAGCCAGTTATTTATATGACAATGATGTCGGAGTTAACTGAAAGTCAAAATATGCTAGTCGAAAAACTTAAACAGAGAGAGGAGGGATAAACTCACAACGCAATCGATAAGTGACATCTGAAATTTGGACTGAGTATGAGATTCACACAGGTTCATTTCAAACTAGCACAGGTTGTGCAAAAGTCTTTGATAATTTCAAAACTTCAAACTTGAATGGAAAACTAATCTATAGAGCTGCATTATTGGTCACCTTTCATGACTAGAGTATCTTCGAAAGTTTAATTTGTCGAAGATACAATTCTTTTAACATCAGTTCATGGTATTTCGTATTAGAAAACCTCTACAAGCTGACTGAACTACGAACTACGAACTTTAATGAACTTCTGTGAGTTTTTATAGTGGCAACGGGTTACTCATTCATTCCATTGCTCCAAGGTTTCATGAGGGGAATGCAATCGATGCAACTGCCGCAACTCCTTTAAGAGTAATATACTGATTTGAGGCTCTTCAATTATTCAGATCAAAAAGTGATTCGCTCGCTAGTGTTCTATTGACTTAAGATGAAGCCAAGAATTAGCTCATCCAATGTTATAAGCAAGAACAAGAATGCCCAAAAGAATCAAGTGAAATGAGTCATCAATAACATACCTGCACGGATAACTTTCGGTCCAGTGAAAGTAATGTTGATGAATTCCTTAAGCTTGTACAACGTCTAGACGAGTGATAGCATAACAGCTGCAACACCTGGTTGAGCAAATTAGCATTAAGTTTGGGAGGCTCGTTCTCAAAGTCCGGTGGGAAAATAGAATCTGGTCGTTGCAAGCTCATGTAATCGGTGAATGAGATGATAACAGTTTTATGTCCGCCTTCACGGACTCCTGATCCTCAACAAAGAATGTTGGTAAACTCATATCCCTGTCAGCGATCTCTTTGCTTTCAATGGTGGAAACATCATCGAAAGTATTCTGATGTCATTGCTTTACGGTTTTGCATTTTCTCTCCACAAGAGAAAGGAGGTACTTGAATCGATAGTTGTCTTGCAGATCAAACTGGCTAATAAATTGTTGAGAAAGAGAAAACCCTCTTCTTTTTATGACATAGGGTAATTTACAACCACCTGCAGGTATCGTCCACTGCATGTCGAACAGACGTGAGGACCAAGGCTTGCATTAAGGCGGAGATTTGTCGTTCTCCACACTATTCTTCGTGATCCTGGATCCTCTGTTTTCCCAGGAAATCACAAGGCAAAGCAGCAGAATATTAGTCCCTGCATATAACCATAAATAATTCAGATAGATGAATCATGATTCATGACGAAAGTCACATACGTTATTTTGAGACTACCGCAGTCTCAAAATAGAGTTGTGACTGCCGTACTTTCATCTTTCCTCTCAGCTGCGTTGTGAGCTTAAGGCTTCCCGCATGTGATCCTCTCTCATGTTACCCGCCAGTTAGATTTCTTCACAACACCAGAAAGCTACAGGACGCGGGTTTTTTATTACTGTAATTTTAAAATTATTCTGCGCGTTCTTCTGGAAAACCTGGGAACGACCTTTCCTGTATGTTGTACACCTGTGAAGGAATGATCCTATAGTGATTAACGATCTGAACACTGAAAATCCTATCTTAATTTCGAGTCGTCAGCGGTCCACCACCTTACTGAAATCTCCATAATCAGATAAGACAAAGGTTATGCGGATAATGCTCAACTATCACACTGACAATGCAAATGCTACCCGCGAAAGACGGCAAAATCGAGTTGAAGCAACTTACAAAGTTCTAATATCTAAAGACTCAGCAAAGTGGTCCGCACTTTCTGAGTTTGACGTTATAATGGGCAAAGTATGATATTCTCCTTTTATTGTACATCATAAATTTAAAGATTCTTCATAACGAACTCATTGAAGAACTAACATCGAGCATGATACTCAAACAATCGTAAACTTCGGCAGTTATCACTGTCAAAATCGCAATCTCGAGATGTTACGATACGATGTTACTTAATGTTCAGCATGTAACCCGCCTCAACTCCGCTAACCGTTACCTGGATAAGTTTAACAGTATTTGAGTTCTGAACCTACTGTTCGCTGCTCTCTATAGGACTCTCACGCGGCAGCACAAGCATTAAAGAGTGTCATATGCGTTTCCTGCGCGACCAGATTTCTCATATTAGTCCATGAGTTCCTGAGAAATGCATTTTACAATGCACGACATCCTGACCTCCTCTTGCGCTCAGCTAATTACAACTGATTAAATATTGTTGTTCTCCCATGATACTCCACCATAGAAAAACATCCATTTAAAATTATGTGTCCTCAAGAGCAAAGTTCAGCTATCCTTGTGTATTATTTCACATATGATAGCAAGACTTACTGTTGATCATCTCTCCAGCATTATTTCCTTAAAAATTAAAAAATTCCGTAACTGCGGGCGTATTGTTTAAAATATTAGATCATCACCTCCTCCTGGACTCAGTCCGGCCACTATACGTGATTTGTGAAGCGAGTAGTACAGCCTCGGCCCTCTACATCGTAACACTGTTCTTTCCTCATCCGACTTTCAAACTTTGACCACCCTTATCACTAGATGTAACCTACCCAAGCTGCACTAGAGCAGCGTATTCTCTTAAAGGCACCTCCATGAAAACCCTCGTTCAACAAACTTCTACAACAAGTCTGCGTGCAGGAAGACGCTCACACGGAGCAGAACGTTCCATTGATTCCAATAGATGGTCTTTGATGAAATCTACAGAAACTATCAGTGGCCTCAGTACAATGAATTCTTTGCCACGGTATAGCAAAATCGAGTTTCTAACGACCTCAACGAGTCCTCGACGTGAAACCTGTCTCGACTGTTACGAAAGCCTTCGTTTCAGTGTTTTGGAAAGCTCAACACCCTACCTTCTTTGAGGAACAGCTACCAGTTCGCAAACGGTCAAAAAAACCCGAATTAAGTCTACCTCAACGTTTGGACAACCCTTTGCCTCCATTAATCTTGCTAAATACAAGCTTTTCAAAAATAATATGGAACAACAGAACAGTATCAAGGCCGTCCACAACAACCACGCTACCTAGTCCCGCACAATCTCTGTCCCAGGCTAGTTAGTCCTCACTCAATCAGACACCTCAAACCAGCCCAGCAAACTACACACTCATCGTAGTCGCAACTATATGGCGATCCCAACCTCAGTTTTCGAATGACTCAATTCCGCCACCTGCAAACTCCTCCATCTACAACCATCTGCTCTAGGCGCACTCCAGTCCATATGGGAGCTTCATTCACTCGCTCTCTCGCTCTCTCTCTTTCTCAAAAATCTTTTCCATCGGTTTAACTCAGCAAGGTACGACCGTCCACTATTGATCCAAAAGTCGGATGATCTTCCCGTACCATGCACTCCTCACTCCACCCCTCTCGCCTATACCTTCTCCTCCAACAAAATCTCCCTGCGAAAGCAATACCTTCGATGAAAACCCAGACTGTCAGACAGACGTCAAAGCTGCTGCGTTCCTGCCAGCGCCCCACCTCCACCTCCGAGGTTGATCCTCACGAGTAATTCACCTCCTAGGTTATCACTAGTCATCTCAAGCCGTGCAAATGCTCGCGAACACACACTCTCTATCCACACACACACACACACTTGCTTGAACACATACAGATGCTGATATCACTCACCACCACCTACTCCCACGCATATCGAAGTTAGACCACCCTTCTCTCATCACATGACGGTGCCAATGCATGCGCTTACGATGCCTTCGAACATCATATGCCGGAGTCTTACAACTTTCTCTCTCTCTCTCGCTGGTTCTCTCACTCACTCACTCGCTGTGGCACTCGCTCGCTCTCTCTCTTTCTCGCTTTCTCTACTTCCTTGGTTGGTTGCTTTGCTTCCCTCACCTCACTGATCACACCGTCCTTCCTTCCTTCCTTCGCCTGGGCAACAACAGCAGAGGAAGCCACATTGGCTAGGAAAACCATCCAAATGCACCACTAATGCTGCAGGAACCGAAGGGGGGGGGGGGGATGTGTCCTCCTGGTCCGGCCTGCAGCAACGCTCTTCTCTTTCTTACAGCAGCAATCTTACTTACTAGCTTAGCTAGGCTACGCTGGTCGGAACGGAACGCCCTAACACAATCTCTCTCACCCATTGGCTCAGTCGTTATTCTCTCCCCTCGCCCCCGCTCTCTCCCTCTCTCCCTCGCTCCCTCCCTCTCTCCCTCGCTCCCTCCCTGGCTCCCTGGCTCGCTCGCCCCTGCCCTCTTTCTTTCTGATCTTTACCCGCCCCCGCCCCCGCCCCTTTTTACTGCATCCCTGCCCCTTTTGTCCCTGATACCATTTCGATTTTACATCCTGCGCCGGCGCTCATGATAAAGTAAAAAATTGGCCCCAGCCCAGGGGAGGACGACGACGACGACGTAGCGTGGGGGGGGGGGGGGGGGGATCGGACAGGACAGGACCATGCCCCCACGCTCCGACACGAATGAATGAAACAATCAGCGGACACACACACCCACCCCTGTTTCACACTAGCGGAAGGAAGGGGGAAAAGGGCTTGGCAACTCTCCTCCATTCTCATCCATCACTCATCCATCCATCCGGGTACGAAGGCAGCAGGGTGGTGGTGGTGTCCCGTAAACCCGCGGGGGGGGCCGTTTCATCGTTGGTTATGGATGTGGTTGCAGGTTGGAGACGGATGGATCCGTTCAGTGTCGCCAGAGACCCAGACGTGAGGTGACGTGACTGTGACTGTCCACACAGTAGTATGTATGTATGTATGTATGTAGATGTGGTCTCCGTCCCCGTTACCTCCCCTTCCCTTCCCTTCCTTTCCTTTCCGTCCCTTCCGTCCCCTGCTTGCTTAGCTTTGCCTGCCTACTCTCGGTTTCTCAGTTGCACTGACTCCCTATCCTCCCCGCAATCGCGCCTGCTGATCAGCATCGTCCCCGTCTCAAGGCTCCCCTCCCCCACTCCCCAACACCCATCCTATGATGACCTCCTGCCAGAGCTCCCGCTCCTGCGGTGGAGGAGCATTACAAGTCTGTTGAGATCCCATTTACTTAACGTGGTGCTCATTTATGACCGGACTCCCCTGCCTACACCCCTCCCCTCCCTCCCTCCACCCCTGTAAGAAAGCGCTCAGCAAATCCCCCCCCCCCCACCTCCTCTCTCATTCTGACGTCACGGCACGTCGCGTAATGTGACGTCTGATCGCGAAGCGGTGAGGTGAGGTGCGGTTCAATCCTCGGAGTGGGTGACACCGAAATCTGTGGGCCGCATCCTTGAGCAGTGCGAGGATCCAGAGTGAAACCGCCGCTCCTATGCGAGAATCAGTGGCGAGCTTTCCGATGGATCCTTCGCACTGTTGCGACGCCCCTGCGCTTCATTTGCTCCGACGTCGATGGGATTGTGCCGACTCCATACTGAGCTCGCCATAGCTCGATTCTCTCTCTCTCTCTCTCAATCTCCCTCTCTCTTTTATTGCGCCTCATCTATGTGTGTTCGCAAACGTAATCTCAGGATCCCACGATTGTTACATGACTTGACTACACAAGTGTTATGCTATTTGAATCAATGAGGAGAGAGTATCCACTGTGGTTGTTCAAGCTGAGTCTGGATGAAGAATTCATTTCTTGGGAAGCTAAAATGAAGTTCTTCATGGTTTTCTTTAGAAGATGATATGTTTAATTTACATTTCATAATTGAATAATTTCTAATTTCTAAGGTTTCTTTTCCATTTCTCTTTTTTGTGTTTTTTCTTCTTTTCTTTTCTTTTTTTGTTTCGTATGTTGGTGTTGAGTTGTACATTAAAGCATGGCCACTAGTATCACCAACAGTGATGCCAATAGCTGGCCAGGCTACTTGGCCTCAAAAAGAGGCCCACTATGACCGGACTATCCCTGTCTATGCCAATGGGTGGCAATGCTCTTAATTTCTAAGGTATTGGAGCTAAGGGTTATTGTTGATGATTGCAAAATTTGCATGGGATGTGATTGTAGTGGCATTTGCATTGAAATAGCTACACATTACTTGAACAGTACATATTTGGAAGATAACATATTTAAAGGGGAATGAAGATATTTTTTATTTTTTCATAGATATTTATTTATTTATTTAAAGGAGATTGAATATTATGTATGTATGTATGTATGTACACACACATATCTAAATATATCTATATATATATATATCATTCTTAAATTATATTCAATTATTGTAATTTTTAATTATCAAATTGCCACATTTTACAAAAAAAATCAATATCCATTTACATCCAAAGTTAATAATCAAAATAACAATAATAAAAATTTTACATCAAATAAATTTAGATATATAAGAGTGATAAAAAATACATTTAAGATATTTATTCTAACTAATAAAGGTTCAAAATAATCAATAGATAGAATAAATTTCTAAATGTAAAATGTTGCAATAATGACATGGATTCATGTGAGATTACCTAATATCTAGCCTATACATGATCCAATCCAACTATATAAATCTCATCTTAATAGGTTATAATATGGCTTCATAAATAGCTTTATATTTGTGCCAATGTCCATTCAAGATGGTCACTTTAACTTTTTCCATCGACTACACAGTTGTCAAGATAAACAATCACATGATATTTATCTAATAAAAATAATAAAAGTATGTAATTGCTATAGTGTCAAGGACAAAGACTCGATGAGGGAAAATATATACAAAAAGGCTATCTCGATATAATAAGTCAAAATATAAACAAGTAGGTATATTAAAAGGAAACTGGAATGGCTATTGCCACAAGACAAGAAACTAAAGACTCTTGAACCTGGACTAGAAGCAAGAAAGGAGTTGACAAGTCTGAAGAAGCCTTCACTCTTGTCTATATATATACTATCTAACTAGGAGCTACGTGGCGACGTTCTATAGGACCTCCAATATGTATTGACTTTGTAGGACACATGCCTTGACTTACAAGGCAAGTTTTTCTACGTGTGGGCCACATAGTTAGCTTGATCTTCAAGCTAACAACATGTGTGGCACAGGGCCAACTTGTTGACCACGTTTCTAATCCAAAAAGTCAATTAAAGACACCTATGAAGTCAAAGCAGCATCTAGGAAGTTTCTAGGAAGCTTCTATATTAAATATTATAGAATTAACTTCCTTTTATCTACTTTTACTTATTTCTACCTATTTCTATATGTAATTATTAGCTTACATGATTATGGCCGTGACATTACCCCCCCTTCTACACACGAGTTCCACGAAAAGCGGTCATCATATGTTGAGAAAATCTATGATGCGACAAATTGTATTCGCCACATACTCTGATCTCTGTTCTCTTCGAAGATGATTGATAGGGCCTCTCAACCATCGGCAGTGTCCCATACCAAGGCGGGAAGACCACCCAGTTATTTGATCATTGTTGAGGCCTTCATAACTTCCTTCGAATAGAATATTTGGAACACCATCAGGAGTTGTTCTTACTTCTAGCAAAATCACCAAACATCGGGAGTCCCTTCCCAAATCGTGATACCAAACGCGTTGTATCTCACCATCTATTCGAGGAAGAACATGTCATTTTTGAAGATCTTCATCTCGATTGCCTCGTCTTGAAGGTTGTGACAATCGCAATGTCTCATCTGGTAAGTCAGCAAACGAAGGTTCTTGAGTTGAATCCGCTGGTTGTTGGCTCTCCATCTAATTAGTGTCACAAATGCAAAGAAGTTACAAACAAGGATAGGAAATTGAATGTTATCTTGCCTCAATCTTGTCTCTTTTATAAGAGAGATTTTCATCTTGGTTATGATGGATGTCGTTGATGAAAAACTTTGACTTTAGTTGATGCATTTGCTAGATTCCTAGATGGCTCCCATATGCGTTCACTAATATCATATCCGCGCCAATGAACAAGTTATTCCAGCTTATTTCGGTGCCGCCTTGAGTCTAATATCTCTTCCACCTCAAATTCTTCATTATTATCTACTTCTATAGGAGGCCGTGGCATTTGTCTTCTTCCTTGTGTATCCACTGTCTTATATGGTTTAAGAAGAGACACGTGGAATACAAGATGGATCTTCATTGACTCCGGTAGATGTAACCGATATGCAACTGGGTTGATCTATTCAGAAACAGAAAAAGGGCCAAGCCTACGATAGTCCAACTTGTCACAAGGTCGAGTAGTCTTGATATTGCGACAAAGTAGCTATACCTTATCACCCACGTTGAGTTGTGGTTGCTCCTTATGATATAGATCTGTGTTTATCTTTTGTCGTTCTTGAGCTTCCTTCAATTGCGTCTTCATTATTGCATGTAACTCTGACAACCGATTTGCCATATCTTCTGCTGCAGGATTATCAACTTTTAAAAAATCAAAAGTATCAAGTTGTGGATGATAGCCATAATTGGCAAAGAAAGGTGTTTATTGCGTGGAAGAATATATCCTATTATTATAAGCAAACTCTGCCAATGGCAGAAGGGTTGTCCAATCATCTTGTTGGTAGTTGATAGTACACCTTAAATATTGCTCCAAGACTTGGTTTACGCGCTCTGTTTGTCCATCAGTTTGAGGATGGAAAGCCGAAGATAGCTTTATGTCCACTTTTCAAATCTTGAAAAGAGTATTCCAAAATCTTGGCACAAATTGAGTTCTCTTATCTGATATGATATCTTTAGGTAATCCATGATAGCGATAGATATTATCAATGAAAAGCTTAGCTGTTTCTTCACCTGTGATAGATTTTGTACATGGCACAAAATGTGCCATCTTGGTGAAATGATCTACTATCACAAATATAGAATCATAAGATCTTGAGCTTGGAAGATCTGTGATGAAATCCATAGAAACAGAAGACCATGATTGTTCTGGTATAGGTAATGGCTGAAGAAGTCCGTAAGGTCGATGACGAGGAATTTTTGATCTTGAACAAATATCACATGATTGTACAAAGTCTTTGACTGACTTCCACATTTGTGGCCACCAAAAATCTCTTGATATGAGTTCCAAAGTCTTATTATATCCAAAGTGCCCTGTTGTTGTAAAGTCATGACGTGCTTGAAGAACACGTAAACGTGCTTCTCCTTCTGAAACATATAGGCGTCCTTCAAAATATAATAGATTATTCTTGAACTCGAACTTAGAAGGATCATGAGACTTGGAAGAATTATTCTCGATAT